GGGACTATGAGGACAGTAATGTAGTGGGAGGGAAAGGCAATGGCGGCACATGGAAAAACTGCGGAGAAGTTGTGTAAAGATAAATACCCCCTCAGGACAAGTTATAGCAGGAGGACCACTTTATCTCTTGGAAGGAGATCATCACCTCAAATGAGTTACAACCGAAACACTTTCGCTCATTCGGATACAACCCTTGAAGGGGAAACTTTGAAAGTTGGCGGCTTTCCTGACCTTAAATACCATAGAAAGCAACTTCCAAATCATAATAGAATACATATGGGAAATAACTAAAGGAATGAAAGATAATAGAAAAAAAGTATAAAAAAAGGAAAAACATGACTGTTTCGGCAGCCCGTCTCCCTGCCTCCCCTCTTGCGATATTGAATCCTACGACACTCTAGCAGATACAATACTGCACAGGAAAGCTCCGACGTTTTCTTCAAGATACAAATTGAGGTTCTTAGAATTTCTGTGAACCTTCTAAAGCATCTTGACAAAATCTGGCTATTGTAGATACGTTGTTTTAAATGGATCGGCCCGCTACTTGGACCAAGCCTCAGGGCCTTGAAATATATTTTCGATGGGTGAAGCTTTTGGTCTTCAAAACCCATATGAGCGGCGTGTGAGGCGGAGGAGCTTGAATTGGTCTAAAGCGACAGACGGGGAAGGAGTTGGTTGGATGCAAAAATAGAAAGGGAGATGGAGCAGGAGGGAATGATCGAAGCTTCGAAGATCTTCGCATGCCGTAATCTCGTCGTTGGCTTTTCCTGTTAGCTGTTGCGCGGCTGTATCGTGATGACAGGAGAACAGAGATGGGGTTAGTGAGAGTGGCCAAGTTTCAATGTGTGAGCAAAGGGAAGAGGATGGGGCAGATGCTTCGATTTGCTACTGGAACAAAGGAATGAACAAGGAAATTGGGAGTTTTGGAGGCCTCCACATGCAGTGATTCCATCATCGCTTTCCCTGCTTGCTCTATTTACGACTGTACCCTGTGTGGTAGGCGAACAGGGGGAGTTATGAAGGTCTTTGGATGCCACAATACTTTTGTTGCCTTCTCAACCAGCTCTAATTGCGACTGTATTGTGAGAAATTCAGCCACGATAGGGAGACGAAGGTTCTGTTGCTTGTGGTTTGTGGGAGATGGAGTGGGTGTTTTGCCGTTTCGGGTAGGGAGGGCCGAAGAGGAGTTATTAAAGCGAGAGCAATTTCGAAGTTCTGAAAGAGGTAGTAGGTAGGGTTTTATTTATATTGATTTATTTATTTTTTTAATTTAATTTTAACGGTCAACAAAATTATAAGTAGAAACCTTGCAAATAATGTGGCGTTCAAAGAAGAGATATAGACTTCGATGATTTCTATCATAAGTTTGTTAATGAGAAAAGAATGTAGAATAACTAAGGCAAGAGATGACAGATCCAAAGACTTTGATCTAATTAGATGTGGGGATGGACATCTTGAGTTAAAGTTGAAGATATCACCGAAAGAGGAAAATGTTATTATCAAAAACTATTAAACGATTGTTTTGAGGAAGGAATAATTTTGGAAGTGTATAACAAAAACATAATTATGTATATTATAAATTGATTTAAAATGATATAGTTGAGCGGGTTTGAAGAAAATGCAAAAAGCAGGGCTTTAGCCTACATTAGTTATTTTATTGAGATTTGTAACGTTATGGCTCTACTAAGGTGTTTTGTTAACAAATCTAGTAGTAGTGGAAGTTTGAACATGAGGGTCTGTGACATTGTTGATTTCTGTTTTGACAAAGTTGTAATCAATTCTTGCGAGTATTTGGTCTATAACCGCTTATTGTTTTTGATGCTCAGTTCTACATCAGTATTCTATGATTTAGAGTTTATCTTCTGTATTTTAGACCAACTTCTTTTTTAATAGGGACATTTACATACGTAGCAGACAAATCTCATGTATTTACGAATTTCACACCTAAACTTTCATATTTTCAAACATAGCACTTGAATCTTTACTTTCACATAAAAAAGAACTATTACTACTTTTTAAAGGTGAAATACACCTTTTCATTTGTAGGTTTAAAGCATCAAAGTGCTACATATATTAATATGAAAGGTTAGGTGTGAGATATGTAAATACATAATAATCATGTGCTACTTCTGTAAATTTCTCTTTTTCATATTGCAGCTTCACATTTATCATCCATTTCCTTAATTTTCTTTGTTTCATTATGCAGTCTACCTTGAAGCCAATAGTTTTTTTATGCCATATATGCTAATTTTCTATCGAAGTGGACTTGTTTATGCTCATACGATTTGTCTGCAGGATCAATAGTTAATAACACGTTTTTTTTTGGGGCTATCTTTTAAGCGACCTACTTTCGCAAATGCTAAATATTTCTTGCTCATTATAGGTTTCTGATCTCCATGTTAGCATTAGGTAATTCTGAGCTAGAAGGCTGATGTATTACTGTGATTTGTATTTGCTTTTATGCTGAGACAGTTTCTTCTATGCGCATTTGACTTTCATTTTGTTTAATGACATTTATACCTTTTTTGTTGTTGTTCTTAGTGTTTTGAATAAGAAAGAAAAATGCGCTGTTTCTTGTTCTTCTGTCATTAAATCTTAACATCAACCTTTTAAGAAGTTTTCTGGTTATTTCTTCCTGTATAAAGTTATTTTTCTATTCTTTAACTCTACTTTAATTGTTGAAATCGAAAGTATGTTGGATATGGTGCATGCTACCATTTAACTTACTGTCAAAGCATACTGAAATGAAAACGGAATTACTAGTTTATCCACTGTAGCTTCTTAAAACCATTCTAAGGTTTCTAGAAGGTGTTTAGGAGGCTGATTTAGGAGGGTGGATGTGGAATAACAATGGAAGATAATATGCGAGTTCGACAATGTTTGGAAGGAGATAGGAGGCATTCAGTGGCTGTCCAGATTGAAAATAGAAGAGATAACTACGAATGGCTAGGTATGGATGGCTAGGGGGATCCACCACCTGTTCCGGAGCAAGATGCAAACACATCACTTGCAAAAGGAAGACGATACAACATTTCGGACAGTATAAACAGAGAATAAAATCTCCAAAATACAAATACAGTAGCTAGGAGTCCCAAAACAACCAAAATATACAACATATGCAAACTTTCTATAATAGAAAATAATCTAAGTAGAAATGGAGAAGTATTAGGAAAAATCATAAATGAAAGGAAATTGGGGTTAAAATAGGTAAACAGGCAGGCCTCATGGGGGCTCGTGCATCATTGTCATTGAGTACTCACATTATCAAATATTTTTTCACATGACAATGGGGGCTTATTCACATTATCAAATAAATTTTTTCCATAAAATATTTGAGATTTTTGAAGCTACAGTTCACTACTCTTGCTTTTACCAAAAGCTCAAAAATTTCTCATCTCTATCTTAAGTGATGATTTGTTGGGCTTGCCTTAGTAGTGGCAACTAGGAAGTTGGTTGTACATCCGAAAATTTGGTGGATATTAATGAGCTTGATTTGGTCTAAAACGTTTTTGATGAGCTTGAAGGTTGTCAATTTAACTCAGCTTGTTGAACGTTTTTGTACTGAAAAAGTTGCTCTACTGGTTGGAGTCACTAGTTCAACTCGTTCAGATTCATGCAACCATTAAACTTTGACAAGTTAATCTTCATTCCGAAGTCCTAGTTTTTTCTTTGATATTCTATGCCAAATTATTTGGATATTGATTTTTCTTCACTAGGTGGAAGAGATTTTTGAACAGCTCGTTGAGGATTTCTTCATAGCAACATGACGTTTTGTTTTTCTGATGGAAGTTTTGATGGAAAATGGAAATGTTGTTTAGGGTTAGGATTAGGAGGGTTGCGAGTGATGCATGCAAAAATAATTGTGGGTCAAAGGTTGGTCAAGTGCTTCGGGTTTTAGTGATAGGAGTCGGGATTTCTTTTTGGTGAAGGTTTAGGTTAAATGAATTTTAGGTTAGGTATGTGAAACACAAAACCCTAAAAATTTAAGATTTTTTAGGTTTTGATACCAGATGATAACATTCTAGGGTTCTGGGCGGTGTTTAAGAAGCATATTTAATGGGAAAATGGTTGTGGTAGTGAGAGAAAGATAATACATGAGTTCAACATTGTTTGGAAAGCCCTCGATGGCCCTCAACTACTATCACATGCAAAAAAAAAAAAAAAAAAAAAAAAAAAAAAAATACAACACGCCAAATAGCATAAATAGAAAACAAAATCTCCAAAACACAAACATAATAGCCAAATAGTCCTAAAGCAGCCAACATAAAACATATATAGAAATTCTCTAATAGAAAATAATCTAATAAAAAATAGTGAAATAGTAAAAAAATAAACAATGAAAGAAAATTGAGGCCGAAATATGTAAACAAGCGGCGTGGTGGTCGGCACTCACGATCGCGAGATCGATTCCACAATAAGCTGGATCCGGTGATCTCGTGGGAGCTCTCGCATCAACTATTTTATCCACTGCAGCTTTTTGTTCTTTTAGCTTGTGGACTTATCTTTCCTTGATCACTTCCATTATTTATATTTAAATAATTTCAATAGTTTGTATTTAAAAAAATTTCTAAATTTAAATATATTTTAAATGTATTTTATATTAAATATTCTTTAAATGAGCTGACTCATGAGCTAACGAGTTGAGTCAGGGCTTTCTCAAGTTTGACTTGTTACTTCATGATCCCATTTAATGAGCCATGTTTAAGTTGCCTTCTCTCACTTAGGATGCGAAGGCTTTTGCAACTGAGAAGCCATGATCATATCTTCTACATTTTAACTCCGTTTTCCGTTTTTAATATATTCTATGCATCTCAGTTTATCCTATTTCTTATGATGCATGAAGGATTAATCATTTAATTGAATTTCACCCTCCCCATATTATTTTATCATTTTCTTGATGCTGAACCACTTAAGCTGCAAGAGTTTCTTTTATACTCTTTTTGGCACGTTTTTTCACTAGCTGCATTCTAATTTACTCCATTGACTTTTCAATCTTGCAGCTGAACATCACTCATCAAGGTCTAAAACGGGTGCATGTTGGCAGAGGCATCGCCTTCAAATTGTATAATTTTGATGAAGTCTCCATATTTTACCCATATGATATTGGTTCCTTACTGAATGAAAGCGCAAGCAAACACAACCAGTTCTGGGCTCACTTTTGGCCCTTTGGCCTCTCCACCTGCACTCCATTGGTTTCTCTCACAGTTGCAGGTCCTGCTTCACTGGTAGCCTTCAGTGTTCCTGATGCAAAAGCTCATGTGGAAACCTCATTCCCATCCCATAATTCAATTAAATTGCTTCCAAATAAGTGTTTCAGCAACGATCCTTATGAACATGTTCGCTCGTTCGCCTCCCATACTCTCACCTCGAAATTGGCAGCCATAGACAGGTTGCTCGACAGTTTTTTCAGTAAAAGCATATTGGACGATGGATCCTTACGACTCATAAAAACCAAAATCACTTCGTCGAAACTACTGAAGTTTCGAGTTGAAGTGGAGAGGAATGTCACGAAGAATGATAGGAGCTGGAGCAAAGTTGCCGAGTGGCGAACCAGGCCAACTGTTGAAAGGTCTTGGATTGAGATAGTCGGCAGATTCGATGGCGACGGTGGCGGCCTGAAGCCGGTTATCGTAAAGATGCTATCCAGGCCTCTGATGATAGTTGAATCTACTGCTTGGAGCCATCTGATGTCGAATATATCGTTTGCGGAGTTTCCGTCTATCGTAGTGCCTCCCGAGGCATTAACATTGGATATCAAATGGTAAGAAGTGTCATGCACTTGTGCTGCTTGTATTCCTTTTGTTAATTGCTAGTCCAATTTAGTTAAGGTTTGAGAGAGTGGATACCTGTTTATTTATTGTACAGAAGTACGAGATATAAATTTGGTCACTTTTATACTTAGAAATGGGGAATAATGGATATCATGGACGGCTTGTTTGGGGCAGCTTATAAGTGCGGGCGTACTTTTCAAAATGACGACTCACCGTTTGGAAAACATGTTTTGGCAGCTTATCCGAAAACGCGGTTGGCTTTTTACACTAAAAGCAGACCGCGGGTCGAATCCTGCGGGCCGCGTTTCAGAATAAGCTGCTTATCTGGATAAACACAAGCTGACTCAAACACACTTCATTTGTAAACTTCTGAACTTTTAAGAAAACAGAAAAGAAAGGAAATTTGTATCATATATATTTCATTTGATCCACAAATTTGGTTTCAAGTGGTAGAGTCCTGAAATATTAGTAAAGGTTAGTGTGTTACAGGTAAATTATTCTGCATTTTATGTTTTATATAAGTATCCATTTGCTTTAGCAGATTGCAATTTTGAAAGTTGAATTGTATTAATTATCTGTTCTGGTTGTGCATATATCTTGATTTCTGTATTGTAACATTGCAAATTAAGATTTCACTTGATAGCATGTTTTTCTTACATCTTGATATTATATTTTAAATCTGGAAGATTTACATACACATCACACAATTCTTATGTATTTACATGTCTTACACTCAAAATAGAATTTTTACATCTATGCCATTGTATGTATTGCTGAATCTCAATTTGTGTTTGACTCGCACGCCAAGGAAGAAGTCAGAAAGAAGGATAAGAACCAGGGAGGGAATGGAGAAATGATTCATTAGAGGTTAAAATTTGTATAATATTTAGAGTTCCATTTCTCTATAATGAATCTCTTTATTTGTAGATGGGTTGACTCATGCATTATGAACGTCAAGTATTAGAATTATAAAACATGGATTGTAAAGGATAGCCATTTTATCTTTATTGTCTTTGTTGGTGTCGTTTTTTGCCTTTTAGAGGTTGCCCTGGATTTTTTGGATATTACTCGAACCGACACGAGCGCACTTGGTTGCCCGAGCTCACTCAAGTGACATCGCCACAGCCTTGATATGATGCGATGCGTATATGGAGCCAATCATTGTTGTTTATGGCATCAGGGTGATTGGATTTGGCACTGGGGCATGGATTTAACCCACTTGATATGAAAACCGATGCCTTGGTGCATCGGACGATGATGCGTCTCGATCCCAGAAGTGGGCACCATGACACCTCAGTGGAAACGTTTATGGTTAGCACTCGAATAAGTAATTTTTCGGGTTTGGTGCGACAACGCCGTGTTTGGAACTGTGATGCATGATTGTCTATAAATAGGGGGCATGGTCCAATGGTTATGTACGTTGATTTTTCATAGTGGAGCCCTACAGTTCTTCTTTTCTTTTTAAAATTACTTATTAGAGATGTCGCAACAGCGCACTCATGCGATAAGGCCAGGGACCTGTCGTGCCTCATTCCATCTGAAGAGAGCGAGTGGAGCGACGAGATGACTGATTTTAGAACTCGTCACTTGTAGGATTTTGCCAGATTCCAGAGAGGTCTGGATATAAATGCTTGGCTTGCTCACACCGATGCATCATGTTGTACCCCACTATCCCAACACCTTCACAAGCCGAGGGAGGACATTTCTTACGTTAACAATAGGCTAGAGGACCTCATGGGGTGGCTGGACTACATTATAAACTAGCTCGCCCGCATGGAGCGACATGCTGGCCCAGTGGCACGGGAGAAGTTTACGCGAGGTGGGAGAAGGCGCTCTAGCATTCTCCTCATGATCGTAGTCTAATGAGAGGTACGAGTGGATCAAGGAATGATGACATCGCGGGAGGCGGATGACAGCCTGATCTTTAGGGGTTGTGTGATGTGTCATTCTTCTTTTGTTATTGTTTCAATATTTCCTTCTATGTCTCGATGAACGGTCATGTTGTTTTACATATTTATGAAATTATTAAAAATATGTAAAAATATTAATAAAATTATGGCTATGTTGATATACATTGTATGTGCTATAGTTATCTGATTTACGATGTTTATTTATCTTGCCTTCTTGGACTAGTTATGTTCAGAAGCCTCGTCACCCTTTGAAGTGCCCCTATATCAATGAGGGTTGCTCCAATCCTGATGGCAGCTCATGATTGGACAACCACAATGATGTTTGCTGAGTTGGGCTTGACACGTCAATGATACCCCAATGTCAAGCCATGTGCCCAACTACTTGGGTCCCAAAATTGGCTCCTTATTGGATGGCCACACTGATGTTTACTGACCTGGGTTTGCCACATCAACAACGCTTCGTTTACGAGCTTTGCACCGTGGTGCCTCAACTACTCGGGTCTTGATGGAGGCACCCGATTGAACAATCATAATTATGTTTGGTGACCTGGGTTTGACATGTCTGCGACATCGAGCCCTGTGTCGGTTCCCCCCCATCTACTCGAATCTCGATGCTGACCCCTGATTGGACATTATCAATGATGTTTGCTGACATGGCGTCGACCATGTTAGCGGTGCTCCAGTTCCATGCCTTGAGCCACGATGTCTCAACTAACACGAACATATCTTGAGCCACACTTCCTGTCTTTACAGTTGACGTGGTATTTACCATGTTAGAAGCACCCTATCTAGAGCTACAACGTCATACCAACTTATTTTCCATATAAATGATGCAACCTTAGGTTACCCCAATGTATAATCATTTGAGAGTTTTTTGGCTGACCTGAAGGGCTGAATTTTATTCTGGTTTTCCATCGAGTTTTTCAATGCTTTTGGATTGTGGTTCCTCTCCCCTTCCAGCCATAATAACTTGTTCCTTCCTTTTGTCTCAGTTGCCCTCTCCTTCTTGGTGGAGTCCTTGATGTCGTTGCTGCAATTCGTGGTAACCATAGGAGCTGGTGATGTGGTCATTCATACTTCAAGTTACGGGTCATCTCCCTGCCACCACATAGGTGAGATTTATTTCCCTTATGAGATTTTTCCTTTCTAGGAAGACCTTAGTTTTTGTGTTAGAGAAATCATGTCAGACTGTTGTTAGAGGATCCCTAGGTAAGATTCCTGAGTTTCCCTGTCCCAACCAAGTTTTTTGTGAGTGCTCCTTTGATAGTTGGGCCTTTAGTTTGCCCTAGTGTTGTAAGGTCACTCTTCAAGCATTATGACGTTTTTCCCCTTTTCGAGTGTGAAAGGAGTTTTTAGTACCGTCTTTTGGCACTCGACTACCATTTCACCTCGAGTAGCCGCACGTCATTGCCTCTACAATGAAATGAGGCCATTTGGTTTGGTGTTGGTTGGTATCAGATGCTGCTTTTCAACATCAGTGTGCTAGGTCTGCAGAACCGTGCTGAAACTTTTCTCTCAGTGTCGCGACCCTGAGTGGACCTTGTTTCCACTTAGGCTAGATTCATGACACCAATCCAGGTGCTGCGGCGTTAGCCTTTATTTCACAGTCCAATGCCATAATTTTTTTGTTGACAGGAATACACCACTGTGATCCTCTCTTGAAGTTGTAGTGCTAGCCTTTGATACCACAACATTGGGAGTTAACCAAACTTTTTCGTTGCTTTTTTCCTTGTAGTCATGTAGTTGATGCACTACATAAGATATGAGATAATCGTCATTAAGTCGAGACTAGTTTAACTTGTTTGAGATTGTCATCTATTAGATTTGGTGAGCTAAAAAGTTGTTGACCTCATTTTTGTGAGGATTCACTCTACTTAGGTCACTAATGATCCTAAACTAAGATTGTACCTTCTGGGACCCTATCTGGTCATTAAATGCGAGCCCGTAACATGCATGCATGACACGAGTTAGATCCACTGGATCCTTAGCAAAGTTCACTCATGTCAATCTCGATGACTTAACTTGCATTGCTCACCCATATCAACCTGACAAACAATGCTCATTACGACATCACGACCGACACAGGAGTCACTCTTCTATCGAGTCTGGCTCGCTATCTATACAAGCATGCAAATGCAAATGCAAGCAGTTAAATGCATAAATGGTAACAAAGAGTATGCTGTGAAGGCACTAACTCAGGAAAAAAATGGGCATAACATGACGACACCGGCCTGAAGAGGGTATGTCGAGGCGGTAGTGACTCAAAAAGACGGGCATGCCATGACAGTAGTAGCCTGAAAATGTATGCTGGAGCGACAATGACCCAAAGGGATGGGCAAGCCTTGATAGCAGCGGCCCGAAGAGGGTATTCTGGTAAGGCAGTGATATAAAGGAATGGACATGTCGTGGTGGCAGCGACCCGAAGAGGGTATGCCAGTAAGGGAGTGATATAAAGGGAGGAGCATGTCGTGGTGGAAGTGCCCTGAAAAGGGTGTGGCGGTAGCTGCCCGAAAGGGTATGTTGAGGCGACAATGACCCAAAGAAATGTGCAACTCAAACAAATGATAATGATCATGCAAACAAACACACACAAAACACAATGCAATATGCAAGCAGACAAACATGTACAACATGCAATGGTGCAAGTGGGTGGTTGATCAAATCAGGGAAGTTGGTCGAACCAAAGTGCTGTGCCAACTCGGCAGGGGCAGTCAGTTGAGGCACAAGTAGCACCAATCAACATGGGATGAAATATTGAGGCACAAGTGGTGTCGGTCAGTCCAGGATGACCGATCGAGGCACAAGTGGTGTCGGTCGACCCGGGATGACCGATCGAGGTAGACGTTGTGTCGATCGATCCAGAACGACCGATCGAGGCAGAAGTGGTGCCGACCAGTTCGGGATGACCGATTTTGACACAAATGTTGCCGACAGGTCCAGGACGACGAATTAGGGCACAAGTGGTGCAAATGCAAGTGCAAGTGCAGTATGCAAGACGATCCATGCAAGACACACATGACATAACCCAAGGCAAGCAAACATACTTGATAGGAAACCATGCTCGTGTTAACATCCTCGCTCAGGATCCTAGGGTTTGGCGCTTGGATATGCGGCTTCGCCGCCTCTTGCTTTGGCGAGGCATGTGTGGAGTTTCTCCTCGAATTTTCGAGCGAAAAACTTTTAACGCCATCGTGAAATGGGCTAGCTACAAATTTTTTCTCAATTTCACGACGTGTCAAAGCTTTGTAGTGTGAGCTAGCTACAAAGTTTTTCTCACTTTGTAAAAGTCAACCCTCCAATTTCTACAAGAAAATTTTGGGCATCCAAAGCAATGGGAGTAAGGGGCTCCAACCCATGGGATTTTTGTGCTAGGGCTCACAACAAAAGGATTCACTCGGCTTTACGAAGGGTATTTGGCCATGCATGAAAACCCTTAAT